ATAGGTTTCATAGAGTTTCCAGCCTAAGAAGGCAAAGCCTGGTGATCTGTTCCTGAAATTTCTATGGCTTAAGTATTGGTAAGGTTTTCAGAAACAGGAAGCCACATCCACTGCTGGTAGTATTGTAAATTGATACTGTAAATTGATAAGTTGATACATTGTGGGTAACAGTTTGGATGCTCCCCTAAAACTTGATCATAGAATTACCATCCTACCCAGTAATCCCCACCGCTTGTCTATCAGTTTGTTGTGCTGTGGTGGCTTGGTGTTGCCGTGATTCTAGAAGCTATGTCACTGGTATTTGAAATGCCTGCAGGGTCACCCAAAGTGAACAGGTTTCAGCTGAGTTGGAAGGCTAAGAACAGACAATGGCGAAGGAGGAGGAGGACTTGGCTCCCTACTTCAGTGAAAGAAGCTGCTAAAAACCTTATGTCCTGCAGATATCAAAAGCCCCGAACAGAAGCCGAACATTGTCAGAGATACTGCCAGAGGATGAGTCCCTCAGACCTGAGGGCACAAGGGCACTTGAAATGTGACTGAAAAAGAGCTCATTTCTTGGAGGGCAGTGGACCAGGGTTATGTGAGTTGGGTGAACCTGTGGGAGTGGAACCTTGGTGATCTTCATTTGATGATGAATCAAGGTAAGAAGAAACAGCTATAAAAATCTTCTAATGATTGGAACTTGGAATGTGTGAAGTATGAATTTAGAAAAATTGGAAATGGTCAAAAATGAAATGGAACACATAAAGATCACTATGCTAGGCACTAGTGAGCTAAAATAGTCTGGTATTCGCTATTTTGAATCATAAAATGCCAGGAATAACACAACCAAGAGGAATAACACAATCAAGAGGAATGGTGGTATATTCATTGTCAGAAAGGATTCTGTGTATCCATCATGAAGTACAATGCTCTTTGATAGGATGTTATCTATCAGCTTTGAAGGAGATCCATCAATACAACTATTATTCAAACTTATGCACTAATCACAAAAGCTAAAGAAATTGAAGAATTCTACCACCGATTTCAGTTGGAAATTGATTAAACATGCAGTCAAGATGCACTGATAATTATTGATGATTGGAATTCAAAAGTTGGGAAGAAAGAGAAAGGAACAGTAGTTGGAAAATATGGGCTCAGTGATAGAAATAAAGCTAGAAATCACATGATAGAATTTTGCAAAATCAATGACTTGTTCACAGCAAATAGCATTTTCAACAACACAGAAAGCAACTATATACATGGTCTTCCCCAGATGGAACATACAGAAATCAAATTGACAACATCTCTGGGAAGACACGATGTAGAAGCTCAAATAGGCCAATAAGTTCAGGATAAAGCTGAAGAAAATTAAAACAAGACGACGACGAGAGCCAAGTAAGACCCTGGAATCTACCCCACCTGAATTTCGAGAACATCTCAAGAACAGATTTTCTTTTTTTTCTCCCCCCCACCCACCAAGAACAGATTTTCTTTATTGAACACTAATGACAGAAGACCTAATCAGCTGTAGTAGGACATCAAGAACATCATTCAAGCTTACAGAAGGGTCACTGGGAGGAAACAAGCCAGTCAAGGTACAGCATAACACCAATGAAACATACAACTTTCCTCTAGTTCTTTAATGCTTCCCCTCCTACTATCACGATCCCAATTCTACCTTACAAATCAGGCTAGACCAGAGCATGCAGCTGAGTACAGATAAGAGCTGGGAACACAGGGAATGCAAGACAGATAAACCCCTGAGAGTAGCCATACCAGGAGGGTAAGGGGAAGGTGGGAGGAGATAAACCCCTGAGAGTAGCCA